ATGGGCAGGCTTTGGAATGCCTGAGAAGGAATTCAGAAAAATGATTATAAAATGTATCAAAATGCTATACAATGGAGGTGAGAAAAATAAGGAAGAAGTCAGGAAAGCGCTACCAGAACAATCAAATAAGATAGATACAGCATTGGAAACAATTCAAAACCTACAGAAAAAGGCCCAAACGATTAATAGTAGAATATCAGAAATGGACAATACACTCAATGGGCAAAAGAGTAGAATTGAAGAGATAGAAGCCAGAACTAGTGAGCGAGAAGATAAATCACTATGAATCAAAACCAACTCTTTGGCACTTAACAGCAACAACAATAACAACAACAACAACAAAAACAGCTACATTCATTTGTTGTTGTTGTACTTAAGTGCTGTCAAGTCAGTTCTGACTCATAGGGTTTCCAAGGAGCAACTGATGGATTTGAACAGCTAACCTCACAGTTAGCAACGCAGTGCTTATCCTACTAGAGCCATATTTAAAAAACAAAAAAACAAAAACACTTATAATCATTGAGTAAATTAACAATGAATATTTCTTAAAGCAATGCTAGATAGATTGATCATTGGGTACATTCATTTAATTGATTTTTGAGCTGATTCTTCAAGAATTGGTATTCATTGGCTTTTGATTAATTGCTTTGCAGTAGTTTGACCTGTGTCCCCATACTTTGACTGCCCTGGACAATCAAGATCCCTGAAAGGTCCAAACTTGCCTACCTCCTTACTTCTGCCCACATCATCTGCCCTCATTCCCTTTTCTCTTTTAATTTTACTCGTATGCCAGCCTCATCTCCAATGTCCTCTCCTATTCTCCCTTCTAGTCAGCCTTCATACTACAAATGTTTGTAACTAATAATTCTGACTTGGTTTATAACTGATATCTGAAGTCTGTCTTCACCACTAAACTATTGCTCCTGGGAGTCCAAGTTTGGATTATTGTTCATCTTCTCCACATAGTACTGTGTCTCACAGTAGTTCAAGTGTTCGATAGAAGTTTGTTGCATCTAAATTTTTTTTTAAAAGCACCTAGAAATAAAATGCGTCTAAAAGAAAAAATAATACTGCTTCCTGTCCATATATTGTTTGTTTTGCCAAAGGCAGATTTTAACTTATCTTTAAACAAGACACACATCCCTGTATTTTGTTGAGAACGGACCCCAGCGATTTTATTTTAGGTTCTTCTTCATCGTTAAATTGAAGCCATCATCTCACCAAGCAGTCAGAGGAAGGCAGTATAGCAGGGAAGGAATAAACAAAAATATGTCTTGCCTCCCTCCACAAGTTATGGCAACAGAGAAAAAGCAGCCACAAACACAGATCATAAACCGTGATGAGGGCCCTGTATTATTCTCTGTATCTGAGTTTCACACAGACCACAGCCACAGTGCTGGGGACAAAGGACCCCTCACATGGGCTCTGCAGTCAGACTATGTGGGTGTGGATCTTAACCCTGATTCCACTACATGGGAACTGTGTTTCCACAAGCAAGTTTCTCCACCTTTCTAAGCCTCAATTTCCTCTTTTATAAAGCAAGAACGAGTGTGCATGACTCTCAGAATTATTGAGAGAAAGCTTACCATGGTGCATGAGTGACACGTAGCAAACATTCAAAAGAAACTGTAGGGGCAGGAATAATTTCCTTGGAGTTGGAAAACGACTCTGCCAGGAGCAGAGCTCCCACAAGTCAAAACATAATTATAGTAATCAGTTTAAATTATAATGTGGATTGTTGGCTTGCCAAAATAAAAAAAAGTTGCCATCAATTTGATTCTGGCTTATGGCAACTTCATGTGTCCCAGAGCAGAATCCCTTCATATGGTTTTCATGGCTGTAATATTTATGTTCACAGATTACCAAGTTTTTCTTCCATGGTGCTGTGGGTGAATTAGACTCTCTAACCTTTCAGCTAGTAAACCCACTGCCATTGAATTGATTCTGATTCATTTGTCATTGTTGTTAACTGTAGTCAAGTTGGTTCCGACTCATAGCAACCCTGTATAGGGTTTCCAAGGAGCGGCTGGTGGGTTTGAACCACCACCTTGAGGTTCAAATTGACCTCACAGTCCAGTGCTTATCCTACAGAGTCACACCATAGAACAGAGTGGAGCTGCTCCCTAGGATTTCTGAGACTGTAAATATGTAAAGATGAGCAGACAGCCTCATCTTTCTTTTAAAGAGAGGCTGGTAGGTTTGATCCACTGACCTTGCAGTCATCCAGTGTTTTTCCTCATAATTTT